TCACGTTTAAAAATACTTTTCATTTCCATTGCGCTAACTCAAACGAAAATTAACTTACATTAGAGCAAGTTTTTTGATGACGTACGACACACGGATATTGTGCAAGCAGCAACAAAATATTTGAAGAGTGCTTTGATGAACGTAGGAATTTACGTGTATAAGCACACGATCGTTAGCGAACAGGAATTGGGTGGAAAATTGTTTTTGTTGCTTAATAAATAAACTAAACTGACACCAATCGAACAAGAATCGGCCTTTAGTGACTTGAAAGAGTTCAGTAAGTTAATTCTGCAACTTGGTACTTTTATTCAATTTTGTATCACATACAAATATGCACTCGCAGAAAATTGCAAGTAACAAAAATTCTGGTTCGTAGTTATGGAAATCCATGTAGCTTTTGTTATTCAAAAATGTTACTTAGATTATGAGGTGCGCCGTATAAAAAATATAATGATCTCGATCATGGTTTTGCCCACATCTTTGTCCTAAACTTAGGAACATTCAAGGTATTTGTCTTTACCATCACTGCAACAGTTTTTGTGAACAGTATTCACATACTATTTTGTTGTTGTTGTGTATGTTAAAAAAAAAAAGGTATTTAGTGTTTTCAACCTGAATGCAACACGTTGTCTAAACGGCCACGTCGGAGACCTGAAACCTCTGGCATAGCCTATCGTAAGTTTAAACTGTTGGATAGATGGAGGGTGATCCCTAAGTAGCACCTGCCGCCTACAAAACTAGTCATAACCCAATAACAGGACTGATTTTCGCTTTTATATTACACTCACGTTTGAAAGTAGCAAGCAAATTCGACATATCGAATTTCTTCCGATCTGTAGCCTAGATCACTAGGCCACGCCCTTTCTTTGTTAAAAAGACATGTTGTTGTATCTAGTATAAGTTTGTTTGTTTTGTTTTGAATTTCGCGCAAAGCTACACGAGGGCTATCTGCGCTAGCCGTCCCTAATTTAGCAGTGTAAGACTAGAGGGAAGGCAGCTAGTCATCACCACCCACCGCCAACTCTTGGGCTACTCTTTTACCAACGAATAGTGGGATTGACCGTCACATTATAACGCCCCCACGGTTGAAAGGGCGAGCCTGTTTGGTGGGACGGGGATGCGAACCCGCGACCCGCAGATTGCGAGTCGAGCGTCCTAACCACCTGGCCATGCCGGGCCCTAGTATAAGTAAGAACAGAGAAAATTGCGTCGTAGCATTAAAACATTTTTCGTATTTCCTCTCCACAGAATTTCATATTACGGAAAGTGTTGGTTTGAAAATTTCATCATATTTGGGTCTGTCGTGAACTAATAGTTAGTGTGCTGCCTGGACTATGAATCCGAATATTAATTTTCCTCGTGCTGTTGCTGCAGAGATGCGGTTGCTCTTTGGAGGTGTGGGTTCGCTATAACATTGACTGTCAAATCTCACTATTAGGTCACGCAAGAGCAGCCAGCCAACTGTAGAGATAAATGCTATTGACCAGCTGCCCTGCCAGGTCCGGCAACGCTGGGAGCACTTTGCTCGCTCAGTTTAGATTCAGTGCTTACCTAATCTCAGATTCCAAACTGAATTGAAAAATACATGACAGATCGTTAGTAAAATTGAAATTGAGCACAAATATTATAATAGCTTAAATAATTCTCGTTATTTATGTTAGTACCAGTAGTGCCTCCCGTTAGCCTAAGTCACGGGTATTCATATCTTCGCATTTTGAAACCGGAACTATATTCCAGCGTCGGATTGCAATACTACTGAATCATTCTTTTGTTGGTAATCGTTACATGTTTAAGTTGTTACCTTTTTGTGTGATGTCATTTGCCCTATTTATTATTTGTTAATTAAATTAAAGGCTTTTGGTAACTTACGACCGATTTTGTAACTGGTGGAGGGGAAATCATTGCGTCTAAGGGAACTGGATTATTTACAAGAGCTTTTAGACACACACACAGATATATATATGTATACACATATAATTATAGACACCAGAAATAAAAATGAAATGTTTCAGTCATATTTACATGAATTGATATATTTATAATTTAATTAATATCTAGTAGATCTTCCTTTCACTTCGTGGAGTCCGTTGATCCTTTGGGGCATCGTGAGAATCATCTCGTCAGTTTTAGATTGTAGGATTTTCGCCACTCTTCCTTCAAAACTTGGAGTAGTACGCTCTTCGAAGTTTTTTTTTTTTTGTTATTTCTTGACTTGCCGGTCGAGTATGGCCCAGAGG